CAAAGTTTTAATAAATAGCTTTGAAAAGCTGGATTTATCTATCTATGTATCTGCCTACAAATGAAAGCTGGGCGTATTTTAATAATTACTAGATGTAATATTTCTGCCTTGATTTTTTTATCTTGTATTTCAGTGAACTTTCATAACTGTAATTCTGTCCTTTGTTCAGGGGGAGTAGCAGAATTTCATTACATATCATTGTCTGAATTTCTCTTATGGAGAAGTGGGACTCTAAGAGCTGGGCGGGGAGAGGAGATTCAGACAGAACTGAAAGTAATTTAGAGAGTGCATCCACAGAGCAAAACTGAAATTCAGAGCTGAGCCAGTAATTTAGCTGCTGCACAGCCATGGGCAGTACCTGCTGGGATCACAGTTCACACAGTAGGGCGGCCAGGGGAGGGACTCTGACATAGAACCCAGTGTTGAGGTTCAGTACAAACCAGAAGCCTTCGAAGGGAGGGCAGGAAATGAAAGATGAGAGATTCCCCGAATGTGTGCTGAAGTGATAGGCCCCTTGTATAGAAGAGTAATGGGCTTGCTCTGGTGAGAAGGGTGTGCCATTTGAAACACAGAAATCTCCAAAGGGATTCACTGGAACACTACTCTACCATAAGAAAAGGTGAGATACTGTCATTTGTGACAACATGGATGGATCTTGAGAATACCATGCTAAGTGAAAAAAAATCAGCCATATGATTTCATTCACATGTGAGGCATAAAACTGAAAGCAACCAATGAACAAATAAGAAAAACAAGCAAATAAAACCTCATGGGGAAGTAGTAGATGGCAAAGGGGACCAAGTATAGAGTGTCTGAAGAAGATGTGACTTTGGGTGGTGGGCACACACTGCAATCTACAAAGATGTATCATATGATGGTACACTTGAAACCTGTATTTTTATTAACCAATGTTACCCCAATAAATGTAATCTTAAAAAAAGAAAATACCATTTTTGACTTATGGTCGGTTGAATTTGCAGATGTAAAACCCATGGATATGGAAGGCCAACTGTATGTTTATAGAAAAAAATCACAGGTGAGTGGGCTGTGACCAGTTTTGCATTATGTGGAAATTTTCATGGTATTACAATACTTGATCACTGGTTCCATTATTAAAATGCATTTATATCCTCCCTTGTTCCATCTCCTTTTAGAGGTGGTTGATCTACACTGTGTTGTTGGGCTCAGTGAACTCCCTCACTGTGCTCTGGCACTGGTGAGCCACCCTCAGGCTCTTCAACCCCAGTTGATATGATAGTTTAAGCTACAGCAACTCCACTCGAGTCAGGGCAGGAGCAGGAAACTGAATGCCCCGGGCCTCGTGATCGATCCCATTCCCTCCTCTGCCCCTTTGAGAAAGGGATTTGTTCCCCCTAATTCCCGCTCCTTCATGTTCCCCCATTCCCAGGCCTGCCTCACACATTCTGGACACTGAGAGAGAAGGTTGGTAGGATGTCAATACAGCATACTATTTGCCACACGTGTCACTCAGAATGGTTGCTAGACATCGTCTCTGACACTGAAGCACCCAACTACTAACCTAGACTTTCGTGAGAACACTGGTGAGCACCATTTTCCATTAGGGGCTTTGTATTCAGTGAGAACACTAATACGGTTCTCCTCAAGTTGATGGTCTCTCAATAAATAAAAGGAAATATTTTTCCATTTAAGTTCATATTTGTTATTTATGGTAAAAAAAAATAGTTAAAAATGAAACATGTAAATATATTCTTCAGAGGAAAGAGGTTTCATAATGATATGTTCTCTATGATTCCAATTTCACAAAATATTTGGGTATGTGTGTATTTGTCTAAACAATAAACCAGAATATTTACAATGCTTATTTGTGAGTGGTGGAGATTTCTGAGTGATTACTTTCTTCGATGTATTTTTCTAATAAAAATTATTAACAAACTGTTGTCTTATACTCTATCTAAATTTTAACAAAAAATTCCTAGTGAGCTCTTGCCAGTACAAAGTCACAGATTATTTTTGCCTTTTTTTTTTTTTATCAGAAAATAAAAATGTCAAATATATTACACAGGTCAAATTTGAGAAAATCCAAAATAACTACATATAATTTTATATTGTATATAATAAAAGCCTAATATGCTAAGTGTCTGGTCGTCCAGTTGTCCACTTAACCAATCAAAGTATAATATGCTAATGATATGCTAAGACCACTCAACTGCTCACTATGATGTACACTGACCACCAGGAGGTAGATGCTCTGACCAGTAGGTTAGCTTGCTGCTGGGGTCTGGCTGATAAGGACTGAGCAAGATGGGCCAGACATGCCCTGGAGCCCTCCCACGGTCCTCCCCAGCTGGCCAACCTCCTGCATCCCTGCCTAGCCCTTATTGTGCACGAGTAGGGTCCCTTGGCCTGGCCTGTGCCCTCTTGCAATTCAGTACCCCTCAGGGGATGTTGGAGAGCTGATTTTGGCCTGATCCCACTCAATGCAGGAGCTGCCCCCTGGTGGTCAGTGCACTCTCACAGGGGAGGAGGGGAGCACCACTCGCTCAGGGCTGGTGAGTGCAGTGACAATGGCCTCTCCCACCTCTACAGCAATAGGACATCCTCCAAGACTCTCATACTGTGAGAGGGTACAGGTAGGCTGAGAGACACCACCCACCCCCGAGTGCACAAATTTTGTGCACCAGGTTTCTAGTAAATAAATAAAAATCTACCAAATGTGCATCCAAACATACATACTTATACATAGAATACACTAGGAAGGGTGCAAAGAAGCTGGTAATGGTGTTTGTCTCTGGAGAAGGAAATTGGGCAGCTATAAGAGCCTATCGCTTCCTTAAATATTTGGTACTTCAGTGCTATGTGAATTTCAGAAATTAAAAAAAAAAATTAAAGAAAGAAAAAACCCACATATATTTAAATTTCAATTCCTCTATTTTTTTTCCCCAATCAGCTTTTGGTCCTTTCCTTACACATAAAACCCCTTTCCACTGTTAGATTGATATGATTTTTGTTTATTTTGACTTATTGCCAAAAATGTAATCTCTCTTATTGCTCTGTTTGGATAACAAATAAGGAGAACCTGTTTTCCCACTAAATGTTTCAACACTGGCTGCTATGGAAAACTTCTGCCTTCTTTGCAAAACGTCTCACAATGCTTCTGTTAAAGATGTTGTAACTGCTGAGCGTGGCCCTGCTTTCAGTTAAGTGAAGGTTTGTTTATAGAAAACCTTGAATTAAGATTAGGGTTTGTCACCGAACAGTTATCAGTCAAGCACTGGGTCTAGACATTTATTTGTCCACTGATCCCTTCATGCAGGTTCACTCAGATAAGCTCCGTGCTGTTCTCAGTTTTCAGCTTCCTTCTGCTAAATCTCACCTGCATAAATGGATTTGTTTCTTCTGGGAGTGAAAAGACATGGGGGCAACACAATGGAGGGGTTCAGTCTTCTCACAGCAGAAAGAACATGCACGGAGAAAAGGCACAGATCAGGTGACTTCCAACGTCTCTCCCGGCCTAACCTATGCACGTAAACTATTTGCTTATGTTGTCTTGGGGTTAGCTAAGCAAGGTTTGCAGATTATCCCCCTGGTTACACAACTGTATGTGTGAATTTATACATGTTGACACTAAGTGATGGCAGGTGGCTGATGTGCAGAAGCCACAGTGTTTACACAGTTAGGAGGGGAATGAGGACACGGAAGGAGCTAATGAACATTTTAAAGTTGGTCAAGTTCATGATCTGGTGGCATCAATTAACTACCTCAGCACTCGTATAAATGTTTGTAACAGTCATGTGAGTTCCTGAGCACTTAATTATTTAATCAAAGGTTAAGTGCATTAAGAAGTGGGGGGTAGGAGGATGGATATGAGGTGAGAACTCTGAAAAACCTTAAAATAATTGCTATTACATTAGTGGATGGGAATAAATAGACTATTAGACTGAAACTAATTCTGCAACGAGGAAGACAGAGAGGGAGAAAGCCAAGCAGAGGGAAGTGTTAGATATGACAAATCAACAAGCTATAGGCAATCTTTATAGAATGACAAAGGAAACATGAGTTAGAATTCTGAGAACTATAATTCAAAGCACTGAGAGCAAAATTTAAACATGCTAAATAAATAAACTACATGTTATCACAATGGTAACGTTTTATTTTACATGATCGGAATCGCCAAGTCTGAGGATTGCTAATGAAGTTACATAGGAAGCAAAAAAAAAAAATAAAATAAAATAAGAAAAACAACAAGAACAGAAATTAGAGAGCACAGCTCAACAATGACATTTATATCGATGGGGCCAGTTTAACTTACCTGTGTAGTAGGTGGTTTAAAATTGAAAACATTTTTATACTGAATAAACTTCTCATTCAGTTTGATACAAAAATAGATTATGAATCAAAAGGAATATATTTCTTACATATTTAGTCTTTTTTTATACTAATCATTGATTCATCAGAGGGATAATTTTTTGATAAAATGTGCTTACTTTGAAACAAACATGTCTTGTTCACAAAGGCTTTTATACATATTAAATATTTTATATTCAAGTTAAAAGAGAAAGAAAAAAAAAGGGTGGGGGGGGGAAATACAGACAATTCTTTATGTTTTTGTTGCTATGACAGCAGATAATGAAGATGAAAAAGACCCAATTGGGAGGGTGAAGTCCGTTAGGCAGGAAGGCAAGGACAGTGCGGGAATGAGATGAGTAAGCCCGAGGGGATAGAGGTTGTCCTAAATGAGGAGCAGGAACCATTAGCCAAGTTACACGGGTAGAGATTCAGGTTGGTTGGTAGGTTTGGTGCTGAGAGTGAATGCATTTCCTGATTGTGCCCCTCTGCTGACACAAGAAGTGAGTCCGATAACACCGTCTGCAACCCAAGCCTGGGGACCCTGGGGAAAAGGCCCGTCCCCCCACTCTCGCTGCGGCAGAAGCTGCCACTGATAAACGTGGTGCTTTGATTTCCTGGAGCTGGTTGGTGATCCCATTTAGGATGGGCAGTGGGTTCAAAGTTGCATTTACCTGTTTATTTCTCAAGGGCTGAACCACTTCCTTGATGCACAGCTCTAGGTCCTTGAGATAGTCCCTCTCCGTCTGCACCAGCTCCTCGATGACTTTGGAGCGCCTGGCCATCATCCTCCGTGTCTGGTGCTCCGCCTCCTCCTGAGTCAGGGCCTCGGCCGCCCGCCCGGCCTGTGGAGTCATCTTTTCTGTTCGGTGGAAACAGGGACAAGTGAGGCATCCTGCGGGCGTTTCTTGCTCCCTCACTACACACAGGCCACTGCAGGGATATTGTTAGCAAGGAAACATGCTTAGGGTGCCATTACGGTGTGTTCTCAGAAAGGGATGATGTGTGCTGGTTCCCCTAAAGTCAGAATCCTAGGAAAAGGTGAGCATGAAGGGATGTGAGAATGGACTACTTTTGACAAAGAAATGACATTCAACTGCCATGGTTTGCCTTTAAAATACCGTGTTTTCCTGAAAATAAAACATCCTCTGAAAATAAGACCTAGTTACAGGTTTCCTTTTGAGTGAAATATAAGGCATTCCCCTGAAAATAAGCCCCCCCTCCCCACGTCCTTCTTCCCCCTGCCCACCGCCCCTCAGGCTCTGACTTCTCTAAATACAATCTTTCCAATATGATTGCTGTGGATGAAACTGCAGTGTTTATGGGCCAATCATCTCAAACAACAATTGAACAGCAGGGTGCCTCCTTAGTGTACATTCCCTCCACTGCTTACGAAAGTGCACGTGTTTCCTGTATTTTTGCAATTCGTCTGGATGGCACTAAAATCCCACCTTTAATCATTTCTAAGGGCAAGAAGGAAAAGATTGAACGTGTTTTGGGCATTTTTTTCTTGAAACTGAAAAAGCCTGGGCCACACAAGCAGTTATAAGGAAGTGGGTCGATTTAATGCTACTGCTTATTATGCGAGGGAGCCAAAGAGGTCTGCTAGTCTGGGATGCAGCCAGCACTCACCGCGCTAAAGACATGAAGACATTTCTTCACAAAAGAAAAATAGATCAGATAATGATTCCCGCAGGAATGACAGCTTATCTCCAGACTCTTGATATTGCAATAAACAAGCCATTCAAAGACAATTTGTGCATGGAAATTAATGACTACATTGAAAATAGAATGGAGAGAAATCAGCGTGGAAACTTTGTGAAACCTAAACTGCAAGAAGTTGTGACTTGGGTGAAGAATTCATGGGAGAAAATCACTGATAGTTGCATTGCAAATGTACTGCGAGCAGGCTACCTTGACAAGAAGTAATCATTTAAAGACAGTGCTGTTGCTAAACATGAGAGATTTGGTCTACTGATTCTGAAAGAAATGGAGTCACAAGAAATTCACCAGGAAATTCAGGAATTGGATTGTTATGATGATGTTCCAGAAGATGATGACATGATTGTCATTGAATAAATGAGTAAATTCTTGATACTGTAGGATTCACAGTTTGTCTGGTTTGTGTTGACAACTACTGTACTACTGTACCGTATACAGGTAATAAATTTCCTTTATTTTCATTTATCAATAAATGTGTGCCATATTCTTCTTCATGGAAAAATAAGACATCCCTTAAAAATAAGACCTAGCACATCTTTGGGAGCAAAAATTAATATAAATCACTGTCTTATTTTCAGGGAATCAGGGTAATCTCATTGCTACTATCTATGGTATAAACTGGTCTTCAGGCTAGAGCCAAAATGTATAAAACAGAGCTCAAAGCTGCTTCTGGACACATCAGTTTTATTTAAAATTTATTTTTAATTATTGTTGGCATGTATATTCAGGTGTACGGATAGCACAGCGATTAGATATAAATATGCCTTGCAAAGTGATTGTTACAATAAGTCAAGTAAGAATGTTACAATACAGTTATTACAATATTATTAACTATGGTAGAGGCCAGATGCACGAAATTTGTGCAAGGGTAGGCCTTTGCAGCCATGGCCGTCTCATGGCCCCGGCTGCCTTGTGGCCCCAGCTGCCTCACAGCCTCACTTCCCTGCCCACAGCTGCCTTGGCCTGGAGCTGCCTGCATCTGCCGCCACACACCCCTGGTTTCTCCGATTCCGCAGAGCCCCCTCGATTGATCACCCTGCAGAGGGTGGCCAGGGCCTCCCTCTACAGGGCGATCTTGGGACAATAGTGGGCCCCCCAACCAATCCCATTGCACCCGCCTTTGCTGGCCTGGCACCAGTATGTGTCATAGCGTGGTTACCCAGAAGGTCGTCCGAACGTTCTTTCTGCTGTTCGGTTGTTCAGTTGATTTGCATATTATGCTTTTATTATTAAAAAAGACTCCCTGCCTTGTACATTACATCTGTGACTTTTTGTATAATGGCAGTTTGTACTTCTTAAGCCCTTTCACCTTTTGCCATCTCCAAACCCCTCCCATTTCTAACCTGCTAAACCCATGGTTGGCAAACTTGTCTCATGAGCCACATGTGGCTCTTTGGCCCCTTGAGTGTGGCTCTTCCACAAAATACCACGGCCTGAGTGAGTCTATTTTGAAGAAGTGGCGTTAGAAGAAGTTTAAGTTTAAAAAATTTGGCTCTTAGAAGAAATTTCAATTGTCGTACTGTTGATATTTGGCTCTGTTGACTAATGAGTTTGCCAACCACTGTACTAAACCATCAGTTTTTTTCTCTGTATCTGAGTTTGTTTTTGTTTTGTTTTTTTGTTTTTTAGATTCCATGTATAAGTGAAATTATACAGTATTTGTCCTTCTCTGCCTGATTTACTTCACTTAGCATAATACCTTAATACCTTCTAAGTCCATCCATATTGACACAAATGGCAATATTTCATTCTTTTTTATGGCTGAGTAACAGTTTGTTATATATAATATCATTTTTATCCATTCATCTGTCAATGGACAGCTAGATTGTTTCCATAGCTTGGCTATTGTAAATAATGCTGCAATATATCTAGGAATCAAATTAGTGTTTTCTATTTTTTTAATAAATTCCCAGAAGTGGGATTGCTGGATCATATGATAGTTCTATTTTTAGTTTTTTGAGAAACCGACATACTGTTTTCCATAGTGGTTGCACCAGTTTACAATCCCACCAACAGTGCACCAGGGTTCTCTTTTCTCCACATCCTCACCAACATTTATTCTTTGGGATTTTCTTGGTTTTGTTTTTTTATATAATAGCAATTCTGACAGGTGTAAACTCATATCTCCTTGTGGTTTTAATTTGTATTTTCCTGATAATTAAGGATGTTGAGCATCTTTTCACATGTCTGTTGACCAGCTGTATGTCCTCTTTGGAAAAATGTCTAGTCAGGTCATCTGCCCATTATTTAAAGAGGTTGTTTTAATTCTTTGATGTTGAGTTGTATTTTGGATTTTAACCCGTTATCAGATATATAATTTACAAATATCTTCTGCCATTCAATAGGTTGTTTTGTCATTTTGTTGACAGTTTCTCTCATGGTACCAAAGCTTTTTAGTTGAATATAGTCTCATTTGTCTATTTTTTGCTTTTGTTGCCTTTGCCCTAAGAAATATATCCAAAAATATATATATATATATTGGAAGACCAATATCAAAGAGTTTACTGCCTATGTTTTCTTTCTAGAAGTTTTATGGTTTTAGGTCTTATATTTCTTTAATCCATTTTGAGTTGGGTTTTGTTGTTGTTATTTGTATATGGTATAAGAAAATGGTCTGATTTCTTTTTTTTTCTTTTCTTTTCTTTTTTTTTCATTTATCTTGGTCACATTTGTTTTTAAATCAAGAGAGAATTTTTAACTGCTAAGAGAGACACCTTCCATGTTTATTTGTTGCTATTATTAAAACTAATTGCTGCCAAATATGAATAGATGATAGGTAAACTTTACTAAAATGGAAAGCAATTGCACATGAGTGGGATATTTCTTTCAATTCACAATCAGAATCCATGAGAAATGAGAGAGTGGTAGATTAAATAAATATACAGCTAAGATTTTTTTTTGTATGGCTTATCTTCAATAAGATATTACCTCAAAATTCTTGAACTGCAAAACAGAACATTTTAATTTAAAAAAATGATCGAAGAGTTATTGCAATAGATGGGCAGCCTCACATATACCCAAGGTTTTATATGAACTACAATGTAAGAAAGCAAAATACTTTCAAGGATGAGCTCCACAGAGTAACATAAAATTTTGGAAACCACAAACTACATAATAATGAAATCAGAGAAGGGATAGAGACAGGGCAGTGTTGTGAGTGTGTGTGTGTGTGTGTGTGTGTGTAAATGAATTTGTTTCAAGCTCAAGGTCGTCACAAACTTAATTTTTATCTTAGTCTCTGCAGTTGCAGAAGTAATTTCATTTCTTTTCAAGCTAACACAATTTTAGTAACTGATATGTTAGACATCTTTGATGCTGACACCACTTCCTGAGAATGTGGAGCTTTGCAAAAGGCTTCGTACAGTCTCAGAATGGAAGAACAAAAGTGCACAGGTCATGATGTACGGAAAGAGAGGATATAGTCTTGGATGACTGCAGAAATGAAGCTGAGAAAAGCAGAGAAAATGTATGGGAGAGGAGTTAACAGTTCCATGAAAAAGGACTGTCCCAAGATGTGAAAAGGCACTCCAAAAGTCGAGAGTTCACCTCTCTTTCTGGCCCGCTAGTTTCAGGTGTTCTGGCAGTAGCTCCATAATCAAGCGTCTGTGGAGAAGAGTGTGAAGGTAAGTCGAGTGATGGTTGGCAGGTGCACTTGTTGATCTTTGGCCAATCCTGACTTTCAGATAAATTCGCTTCTGGACCATTTCCTGGTAGCTATCTTTCCTTTATCAGGAAAGAAAATGGATTCGACAGATGCTGTCTGAGTTTTACAAGACTTGGACCATTCAGTGCCAGAGAAATAATCCACCTGGGCTCTAGAAGAAGAGAGAATCTATACAAAGAGAGAAAACGAATGCATGAGGAGTTCTGCAGCCTGTGTATCTTATCTTACTTTATGTTATGAGCATTTTTGGATGCTTGCTATAATAATTTATAGTATTTTTATTGGAGAGTAGAAGAAGCCTACCTCTCAGCACCCCAAATTTGAAAAAAAAAAAGTCATAGTCAGGTGTCATTATTTTTAATTATTTTAAATATAACAGAGGAAGGTAAGCCGCTGGAGAGGGCCTGCAGTGAGCAGGCTGCATGTACCACATGACCTCCTCGTGAGCCTCCTTTCTTCTGTTTCTTCTAAAAGGG